ATAATTTAGGAGGACCCCGCACCCTGCACTAGTGATTATAAGGGATGGTAGTGATCATACTTCACAGGGTGGGGCGCCTAAGGGAGAATAGTATACCACTATTACAGGTTGGGGGGTGTCTTCCTAATGGATAATAGTACTAATGCTACTATTGTTATTATTGAAACTATTATTCATATTCCTATTAATATGAATATTAATGTCAATATCAATACTACTACTACTACTACTACTACCACCAAAGCAAAGTCCAAGGCAACTGGCTGCGTAGATGCGGTTCGCCTGCTGCTGGAGGCGCGCGCGGATGCAAATTTGGAAAGTCTTCCCGGAACAACGCCGATGCTTCTGGGATGTCCACTGGTACCGGTTTACCCAGCTTTGGGTTCTACGTTCCTTTATACAACGAATCAACCCTAACACCCTTAAACCCTCCAACCTAACCCTAAAACGGACCTACCTCTTTTTTGGAAGGGTTGATATTGAGGAAGCGAAATTGAGCAATTAGAGGGGGGAAAATTTTCCTAATTACTATATATACCCATTACCTTCTTGTAATATTATAGCCACAAACCCTTCACACCTTGCTCTAATATGATTGCAAAGCTCCTGTTGGCACCCCAAACCCTAAACCCCAAACCCTAGACCCCAAAAACTCCAAACCCTCAGCCCAAAAACTCCAAACCCTACACCCCAAAACCCTAAACCCCAAAACCCCTAAACCACAAAAAACCCGAAACCCCAACACCCGGCGATCCAAGGCTTGCAGCGTCAATTACTCTATTAGGCCTTCTTAAGCCGTATATAGTCCTTATAAGCTCTTTAAACCCTAGGGGGTGTACCTTTGGGGGGGGGGTACTATTGTAATCTCTTAACCAAGTGACCAAGGCTTGCAGCGTCAATTACTGGCGGCGCGGAAGTTGTCCGGTTGCTTCTCGAGGCCCAGGGCGACAAGGACGTGAAGGGCTTCAGGGTTTAGGGTTTAGGGTTTAGGGTTTGTGGTTTAGGGTTTGGGGTTTAGGGTTTAGGGTTTAGGGAAGCCTTAGGCGCTTTTGAAGGGGTACAGTTATAATTGGGATAATTG